CGATTAGCTTGTAATGTGTCCAAACTAATATGGTTCTCACTGTAGTACTGGGCTAGTGCAGTTACATCCACATGTCTTGTTCTCTGCTTGGCTAAGTATCTCAACCCTTACTTGGGTGGAGAGAACAGCCTGTCCACACAGAGGGCTATGTCTGTGAAGCAGAGAGGTTTGAATTCTGTAGCCTGGTTTGCACAGATGTTTAACTCCTAAAGTGCAATTGGTAAACATAGTATGTTTCCATCAGATGTGTTGAGAGATTAGATATCACATATCTGTGCATTTTCTATGTTGTTTTGTTTTGTTTTTTAAATCAGGGGAATTCTTAGACTTATGAGCAAGGTTTGCAAAACAGTGGTAGTGCTATAGTTTTCTTCTAACGATTTTTGTAGAAAGACCTTTTATTTATTTATCTTTTATGTTAACTGACTTGGTTTTCCCTTTATCTTGTCTCTGCCCTCATGTCCATTTTCCATGTGTGCTGCAAATTACCACCCTTTTATCTCTTAGACACATTATAGCACCTACAGAACCTGGACAGGTTCTTCAGCAGGCTGATTGCTCTTTACACTCCTATTTCAAAATGTAGCATTTCATACTGATATTTTATATGGACAATTTGATCTATGTATTTACACGTGACTTCAGCCTGAGAATCAGACTTCACAGAATCATGACAAAGGTAACCAAAGTCACCGTACCTTAGCTGAGTCCCTAGCTTCATGTGTGAATGAATGCTCATGGGAAATGTAAGGTAATAGGACTTGGCTCAATCCCATTTTTACTGCATACTATGTCATATTTCTATACATTTCTCCCAGATTAAGAGCCAATGCACAATTGCCAGGCTCAGCCAACACATTGTAGAATATTAACTATGAGAACTTGCTCTGAGATGTTTAGTTGGCTTTCTACCACAGCACCCCAGACTTTTGAGAATTTGGCTAACTCTATTCAGAGGCCCTGCATAATACTCCAAGGCTTTTTCCTCCCTTCCCTCTCCCTCTATCCCCACAGGAGAACTGCAAAGCAGACTATATATATGAATTATAATTACTATTCTTAATCTTTTAGCTAGTTTCTGGAATGATGATAATGTGGAATTATATTGAGCTATTAATGTTATATGATAATACATTCATTCACATGGTTAGAGTCTGCTGCCAACTAAAAGGGAGCTCATAATAATTTATGAGTCTGTAATCACAGGTGCAATTAGATTAGATTGGAGAGAGAGATTTGTCTTCTTTCTGTATTGAAGATAATTCTGAAATTTAGAGAATGATTTTGTATCTGGTCCACCTGATTAATGATTTATCGGTATACAACCAGCATGAAGACTGTCTCTCAGCAGAGACCATATCTTTTTCCTGTCTCTTCAGTTTCGATTTTCTTCATCTGTGGAAATTTTAATGATGGCTGTTGGTACTTTCTGTGCTATTGTTCATGGAGCAGCCCAGCCAGCTGTGTTGCTTGTGTTTGGTGCAATGGCAGACACATTTATTGAATATGACATTGAAATGCAAGAGCTTAAAGACCCAGGCAAGACATGTGTAAATAACACCATAGTGTGGATTAATGGTACTATTCATCAGAATGAAAAGAACACCACAATAAGATGTGGGTAAGTAGTAGATGTATTTGTTCCTTTTCCTCTCTTATTATGGCTTGTCAGAGGATGTAATGCTAGTGAAGGTCCAGTTCAGCCTTTAAATGGTACATTTTCTATCCATAAGGCAGAAAAGGGGCATGGTTCTTCTTACAGAGTCCTATTTTTGAGCTGGAGATATTACCTGGAGGGACAGAAGTTCAGCTTGGGTCTTGGTCTTTCAGCTGTAGATGTCAGCAAGGATATTCTTTGAGGATGATTGTTCTGATAACAGTTGTACTTGCTACACATCTGAGTTCATTAATCCATTTTCTCTGATGATACTGTAGGTAATACTGACTTCTGGTCATTCCAGTTAGGATTTAAGTACCTATAGGTGCCTGCTGACTTCTGAGCAAGTTAGCTAAACTTCAGTCATTGAAGAGGAATGAGTGTTTCTAGGATGCAATTCATCTTAACTTATGGGAAATGTCTAAGGCAGATCAGATGAACTTCCCTGTAAGAGTGCCTGTTTCTTTCCATTAGCTATAATAAATGGAGTCTAGATGATTCATTCAGATACAGATATCTGTCAAAGCCAAATTTTAACCTGTAACCTTTCCTAAGGCTCATTTTTCAGTGCATCATTCCAAGAGTTTTCTAATCTCTGAGTGACATTTAATTAGATATTTAATTAGAATTAAATTTACTTGTCTAAAGGTCTCTGAAATTCAAAGCACATGGGAAGTGATTCACATTTCTACATGTAGGTGACTAGGGCCAAATTATTTGCTCCAGGCTGTCCAAGACAGCCCTCTGAGGTGGGGCTGTCAGATAGAATATAGGATTTGCTACAGACCTCTGTTCCTCTGAAGCAGGAACTATGCACCAGGCAGGATACATTAAAGCATTAAAAATGGTACTGAGTATCTGTGTTAGGCACCTGAGTCGTTTCTATGATTGTTTGTTGCAAGAGATTGGGTCAGGTGCATAGTGTTCTCTTTTGGCTTAAAATTTCAGTGTACCAAGTTCTGGGCAAATAATAAAATTTGCTGTTTGCAGGATGGTTTAAAAAAGTTGCCTAAAAGCATAACTGATAATGACCTGAAATGCCTTTTTCAAAGCAATATAAATACAATAGCAGCAACTCAATACCCTTCACTGATATTAGGAGTAATTTAATACTCCTACTTGAGCTAAAAGAAATGATCAGTTCATTTTAGCAAGTTTATGGTACAAAGTAATACTTGAATTGACTTTAGCAGTCCTCATTTCTTCTCATAAAACACTGTTTAAATCTGAGTATTATTAGTTGGTATAATGACACAAAGCAAGTGCATTCAACATCTAATGAAAATTGTTGGGCAGCTCTTCCCTGAAATGCCCTCTCACCTGTGTGATTTCAGAGCATGCACTCTGGTGGGGTTTCTCAGACTTCAGGGCTGCTACAGGATTGCAGCTCATTTTCTGGCACTTTCCAGCACCCTATCTCTGTGCAACAGGCAGACCAAGCAAAACAGACGCTGCTAGCAGTATTGGGAAACAATGCCCCTGTTAGCAAAACAAGCTGATTTGCCAGCTGACCTGACTCTAACTTGAAGAAACACCAGATTAGAAATTTGAGAGAAACTTAAAACTGCATTGCTAACTCTGTTTGTTTTGTTTTGTTTTGTTTTGTTTTTTGTGTGTGTGTGTTTTGTTTTGTTGTTGTTTTGGTTTGGTTTTTTTTTGTTTTGTTTTGTTTTGTTTTTTCCTTTTTTCAGGCTGCTAGACATTGAACAAGAAATGACCAAGTTTGCAGGTTACTATGCAGGAATTGGTTGTGCCGTACTTGTGTTAGGATACCTTCAAGTCAGTATTTTGTTCCCTATTTTGATTTCAAAGTTTAAATCACTAAATAATTAAATTTATTTTAATAATGTTCTTTTTAACTGCTTAGTCAGCTGCCCATTTGAGCAGAGCAGATGCTTTCATTTCTCATTCTATTGGCTGAAATAGGTTAGCTCAGGCAATCTGAGACCTCCTTGGATTTGTGCATGCTTACCTTTGTACAATGATACATTTTACCCAGTGAGATGAATGCATGCTGCTCCTTTCACACCACAGGAAATACTTGCTGAAGTGTGGTTACTGTGGAATCCACATGCCCTCCCAAAATACCAGCTGAAGGGCATGCAGATTCCCAATAGTCATCTTAACTGCATTGAGCCCTGTGTTTCTATTATTAAGATATTACAGAGTAATACTAGTGTAAAACTAGTGTTGAACAAGAATCACACCCTACATATTCTGTAGAAACTGTTCAATCCTTATGATGGAGATGAGCCACAAATTTGGACAACTCCTGCATAATCTGCTAAAAGGTCCACTGCTTTTGAAGCTTTTTATAATCGCAAAAATCACTCATCATTCTCCTTCCTGAAAACTATTTCAGAGTTTTGCTGAGGTAGGATGGCTGCCATCCCTATATTACTTACAAGCTGTGGATGGAAAAAGTTTTGTATTTTGTTAGATTCATGTAACAGCACAAGTAATTTAACTCGCATCTCCTCTCAGCCTATCAGAACTGAGTCAAATGTTTGATCCAAAGGCTTTGTAAAATTGTTGAATTATTTAAACAGCAAAGACATAACTCAACTGACACATCACTGTAGCTAGAATATATTTTACCTGAATAGTAATTTTATCAATAGCCAAATTGTTCTTTCCCATTTTAGCCAAATTGCTTTTTCCCATTTGTTAGGAGTAGAAAGACTTTTAACTGCAATTTATCAGCCATGTTATGTTCTTCCCAGATCTGCTTTTGGGTTATGGCTGCAGCTCGTCAGATACAGAAAATCAGAAAAGCTTATTTCAGGAAAGTAATGCGAATGGATATAGGCTGGTTTGACTGTACATCTGTAGGAGAACTGAACACCCGAATTTCTGAGTAAGTAATCTAGAAAAATATATGCTACAGAGAACACCTTGCACTTCCTTCCAAATCAACAAAGTGTGGATAACTAGGCATTTGACAAATACCTCTTAAGAATATAAAATACAGCTATGTTCCTGGGAGCAGAGATGGGGCTGATTATCTCCCCCATCTTTGAACTGTCATAACTGTTAAGCCACAATGATTTCCTTTGTGCTTTATCTGTCAGTAGATCCAGGGTTTTTTTGTTGGGTTTGGGGTGGTTTTTTTTTTTGCCAGCCTGTCCTATCTTTCCCTTCTCATCCTATTCTCAGTCCTTTCAGAGTGATCTGTAATTCGGCTGCCAGTGCACACTCCCTGAGGCTGGAGAGGTGGGTTTGAACTCTCTTGCACTTCCCAGAAAGGAAAATTACATTATGGGCACACTGTGCTTTTATGGGCTTTTAAAAGGAAAGAGTGAGCCTTGCTTAATCTTCTGCTAAAGAAGGTACAAGCACCTACCTTTAGAAAGGGACCGAAGGTAGAGGGAGAAGCCTTCTTATCCTGGGTAAACACGTAGCCCCGAGAGCAGCGGAGTTTAAGGGTTGCTCCTTTTCTTAGTGGTTCCTGTTTACAGGCTGAAGGCAGCTGCAAGGTGAATGTGCCAACTCTAGATGGCTCCCTGTTCTCAGGCGTGCCTGCAGAATAGTCACACTTGCAGATTTTTCTGTAGTTGAAGGGGATTTATTTGCCTTTACTCACTGCCCAGTGATATCTATGACTTTCCGTGGTGTTCTTTTTATGAAGAATAAATGCCAAGTGTAAGTCGCCACGAAGAGTTTCTCTGGCAAAAAATGGAACTGTGCATGTATTTGTCTAATAAATAACACTTAGTTCCCTGTTTTTTTTGAACAACATTGTCCTGTGCCTACAAAAATCTTCCTGACTGCAAAAAATATTTTCCAGAACAAATATAAACACATTCTTCAACTCAACACTCTTAAATTTTTCACTAGGGGACTGATTTTACTTGATATATCAACAAGCTAACAACTTTGCACTTTAAACCTCAGTGCCACTTGCTCCTATTTACTTCAGGAGTTACCAGTTCTTCCAATCTCAGGGGTGAGGTAGTAACCAAGAGTGGCAGAATTATAATGACTGGTTTGCTTTAAGACATTTTTTGTCTGTTGGCAATGCATAAGAGAGAACACACGAACTCTGCATCTGCCAAGGGGTTGAATGATGTCAACTGCTGCACCACTCTCCCCCATGTGATAGAGCTGTCATGTTTTCCCACTGCCTCCAGTAATAAAGTAGCCCTCCTCAGTTTTCCCACTCTCCCTCTCATTTAGAGAACAAAGTACCTGATAGAGTGGAGAGAAGAACCGGGAGGTTGTGGAAGGTGGAAGTACTTACAGCCCACCTCCCTTTTCCTGCCCCCTCAGCAGGGTAGGGCGGTACATTCTCAGCACCCCACAATGGGAGGAATGCCATATCAGCTATACTGGTTTTCCATTACCAGATAGCTGCATCCAGCTGGAATGTCTTTGCCCTCTCCTTTGAATCAGTTTGGGTACGGTAGTAAGAACCAGCTAGTGAATGAGTCTGCTGGTAGGATGACTTTTCCTGGGAAAAGACAATATTGACTCTGACTACTCATGCATAGAAGCCTTCTGCCATTATAAAGGCACCAGATTTTCTCATTGTAGCCCAGGGTCTTTGGAAGGGGTGATGGTGGAAAGTATAGGGGTGAGGAAGGGCTCTCTCCAAGGGAAAGCAACTAACACAAATGTGGCCAAGACCTGCAACATGAGCAAAAGAGATGCTCACCAATCTTCTGTTGATTTTTGTTGTTTGTGTTTTTTTTTTTTTTCCTCCAGTGATGTTAACAAAATTAATGAGGCTATTGCTGATCAAGCAGCAATTTTTATCCAGCGCTTAACCACCTTTGTGTGTGGATTCCTACTGGGATTTGTCAGTGGCTGGAAACTGACCTTGGTTATCATTGCAGTCAGCCCTCTGCTTGGGGTTGGAGCAGCTGTCTATGGTTTGGTAAGTGAATTCTGAGAGGTTTGTACTGAGAGGTATGATGGACAGGGAAGGTCGTGCTTTAGAGCTGGGAGGCTGGTGGAAGAGAAGGCTATTACACCCCTTTAAAGTAAAGAGAGACAGATTATGGTCACAACAGCACCAGGAAGGGGGCAGGCTTTCCTCCCTCTTTGCTTATTTTGATTCCCAGAATATATCCTGCTTCTAAGACAGGAATGTAAGCATAATTTCTACTGGGTCCTGTGGATGGATATTGTGGTTGTTGAGATCAGAACCTGGCCTACAGCTTCTCTCTATTACTCTCTATTACACACCTGGTTTAGCTGGTTGCTAGATATGGGGCTTGATTATCTCTATGTAGATAAGAGACTTTTAGAGATGATCAAGTTTCAGAGCTGTAAAACAGTTGGAAACAACTGCTCAAATTTACCTTAAGCTGTCCCTGTTCCTGCCAGCTGCTGCTTCCTCTCCCAGTTGTTCCCATTCTGCTCCTCCATTGTCTCCCTGCAAACTCCTTGTCACTGTGCAGAGGAAGGACAGTGAAGAGGGAAACTGCAGGATCCTCTGCCCTTTCACCTCCTCTCCCACACCCAGCAGGGCTGGGCAGTTCCTGCTCCTCCTCTGAACTCTCTCACACTCTGCTCTTTGATTTGGTTCAGCCCTTTGCGTATCTCACTTCTTCCCTGTCAGGAACAGTTTGCTATGGTTTTGGTATCAAACATGTCATGTAACTTTGACTCATTTCTCATCTTCCTGCTCTCCTTCAGCAACTTGTGCTTGCTGCAAGTAGATGACATGAATAATGACTCAGTGTGAAGTGGGAGAGCAGAATTCTGGCAGGGAATTAAATAAAACTCAAAATTCCTCTTTCCTTCATTTACAATTTCTTTCTGAGCTCATTCCCCTTTATGTTTGTAATTTTCTATTCTTATTTCTCTGTCCCCATCTCTTTCCTTTCACATACCCACTGTTAAGTGTTTTCTCCTTACGAGCCTTTCTAGCCCAAGTCTTTGTATTTTACCATAAAGCGAACAGACCCAAGGTCAATCTAGCCTGGTTTTCTGTCTCCAAAAGTGACTAATAGATGCCAAGGGTAGGGTATTTGAAGAGAGAAAGCAAATAACAGCACTACAATTTTTAGTGATATGTCATTCCCAAGCCAATGTGTTTTCCTTGTGTAGAATTATAGATGACTACATATTCTCCCATTAATTTTAGCAAATTTTTTGAGCATAAGTAAGCTTTTGGCATCCAGTGTACTCGGGGCTGCTGTGTAAGGACCTATTTGCTGCCAGCCCAATAAACAAAGCACAGTGGTGGGCAACATCTGTTTCCATCCTCCCCTATCAGTACCATTACCTTTTCTTCCTGAAGCTGGGCTCTGCCACAGTGGCTAAAGGGCTGCTCTTGCTACTTAAGCTTACCCTTCCTCTCACCATGCACAAACCCTCAGTCTGCGGCCTGCTTAAGCCCAGTTAGCAGCAGAGAGAGAGGAGGGAAAGCAGGTGTTGTCAGCTGCTCTTTCTAACTGCCTGGAGCAGAGCTGTTCACCAAGGGGATAACTGTTCTGCAAAACATATTCTACAGAGGTATATGCCCTAATACTAGAAGACAGAAGTCTTTGACTGTGCAGTGTGCCTAATAAAAGCCTGCTTGGAGTGGAGGAGGTGATCTCATGCAGAGCAGACAGCGCAGTGTGGCAGCCAGCACTGCTTACTGCTGTCCTTGTCTGCACCTACAGTTCAGGTGTAACCAGCACTTCTTATGCTTTTGTAGGCTGTGGCAAAACTAACAGGCCGAGAATTAAAGGCTTATGCAAAAGCTGGAGCTGTGGCTGATGAAGTGCTCTCATCCATCAGAACAGTGGCTGCTTTTGGTGGGGAGAAGAAAGAAGTTGAAAGGTTTGTTGGGACAAATTATAAAGTCTCTGATTTCCTTTTCCGGTAGCAATGTAATGCTGTAATGCACTTCAGAGTCATGGCAATTAGTCTCCAAATTCTACAACAATGACCTTCTGTTAGCTGTATGCATGTATGCTACAGATATTTAGGTTTCAAATAACATTACCTATGCAAAACCAGTTTCATAATTCAGTCAATCTGTGAAATAAAACATCAGCAATGCTAACTTCAAGTCATACCCACTAGTAGGAACATACTGTCAAATTTTCCCCTAAACATTGTCCAATTTATCACTTTTGCAGCACATCTGAAAACTTTGGGTACTTTCAAGCTAAGTGAGAGAACTAGTTCCAGGAAGGCATAATGATTTGATGATGTTAAGCTGCAAATTTCTTTTCAATTAATTTAAAACATAACACAACTGTAGGGTGTGCTCTGGAGTATTTCATCCCCTTTTTTCTCTCTCTTTTCTTCTCTTTTCTTTCTACAGATATGATAAGAATCTGGTGTTTGCTCAGCACTGGGGAATTCGAAAAGGAATAATAATGGGATTATTCACTGGTTACATGTGGCTTATAATTTTCCTGTGTTATGCATTAGCCTTTTGGTACGGCTCTAAACTTGTGCTTGAAGAAGAAGAGTATTCACCTGGCACTCTTCTGCAGGTACTCATTGTAGCTTGATGCAACTTTTCTGGACTGCTTCTTAAAACATTAATTCTGAAACACATATTTGTAGTGTTCTGGTATTGGGTAGCTCAGTGGTAACAAACACTATATGTGTCTTTTAAAGATCATTACTCAGTATATATATGAAAGTATATGACACAATTGGATAAGATTTAAGAAAATAATCCAAGTTTATTTTAAACATTTGAAATGCTGCCTACTGCAATCAAAATAATGCTTGTTTTTGAGATCCTGCTACACAGTTGACAGAGGCCTGAAACTAGCTTTCTCATTTTGTGGGTTGGCACGCAGCTTCTGGGATATTGGCTTCTCTGAAGAACTTACTTTGTGATGGAAAACCCCATTGTGGTAAAGACAAACCTAACCAAAGAAAGTTTTAACAAATCTAACCTCTCTCATGAACAGTTTCTGCTCCTTTGAATCACCATTTTCTGTTGCTAATTGCCCATCCAGCTCTATAGATGGCAAAGAAGATGTAAACATATATGCTGAAAAAAACACATGTGGCTGTGGCTCCTGCAGTGTGTACAAAAAACATACTAACCTGCATGGCACTCATGCATCCACTTCTGGACAGTAGACACTTTAGACACTGATGACTTAAATGCAATAAACTCAGCATTTACAGATATTTTAGTTATTTGCCAGGACTGCCCAAATGGCAGGCTCCAGTCCAGACCCAGAGTAAATTTTCCCTGAAGCTCGGTTAAATCCTAGGTGTTCTAATGAGACATCTATTTTTGCTTCTTCTCTGCCTCTTGCACACCATTAGAGTTCCCAACCACCAGCAGCATGCAGTGCAAAACTTGCTGCTAAATGGAGCATGGTAAATTACTCTGAGAACATTGTAGAATCATGGAATCATAGAATGGTTTCAGTTGGAAGGGACCTTAAAGATCATCCAGTTCCAGCCCCCCCTGCCATGGGCAGGGACCCCTTCCACCAGACCAGGCTGCTCAAAGCCCCGTCCAACCTGGCCTTGAACC